AAATTTTTTTATTTTTATCAGAAGAAAACTAAACTCTCTTCTTCCTATCCTCCCTTCTTTGGGGGTTCAGTAGATGGATCTGTAGTTCAGCAAGAGTTCCAGTCTTCTCTGAAAGACTTCGGCATAGTATTTTTAACTTCAAGATAAAGTATGTGACTGAAAAGTTCTTGAAATAGCTGTAGCTGTCAGTTTTACTGCGGGCCATATAATTAACATTGTTTACTGCTTCCAGTGACACCAATTTTTTCAGGGAGAGCAGGTTTATTTACAGTGCCTAACATAGTGTAAATTTTAGAAAAGTATATATTTTTATAATATTTTACTACATGTAGTCTGCCTGAAGGATTTAGTACTTGTCTTTCCAAAGTATATGGCTTTTTTAGGAAGCCAAACTTTTAAATATCTCTCTAATGTCCTTTTTTCTATTATGCATGTATTAACAAACATTTCACTGGCAAAAGCTGATCAACAGTATGAATCTTTGTGTCTGTATTGATTGTCCAGACATCCTTCTAGCTTTTAATCTGTGAAGCACTTCGCAGACAATGCTGTACTTCTCATGTGTACTTCAGTTCAGCTTTCATAGTTCTTTTTCTGGCCAGCGATTAAGACACAACAGGAAAAGGAAGCTTGTCTCAGGATGGCTGATTTCCTTACAGTAGCAGAGAACAGTCTGCTATTACTCATCTGAAAAACCTGAAAGTAAAATCGCTGGAAGTGCACTGTAATTTTTTTTGTTGTTTTCTTTAGCTTTGAAATACAACAAGAAAGCAATAGCAGTAGATCACTGAGGGGAGAGCAAGAGGCATTTCTTCTGTAGAGCCTTGAATTTGAGGTCTGTATTACTTATTTGTTGAATCTAGTCCCTTAGGAGCAGCCAAAAATTTGCTGCTGTTACTGCTGCTTTGCAAGCAGCAAAGCAGTGTCCAGCAACCTTTGCTTTAAACTCTGGTGCTTGAAACTTTACAACACCTCATCAACCAGCTTACTCTGTTAAGGTTATGTGTAATAATCTAATGTATGTAAAATTGGAGAAGGATGCTTTCTATTTGTAACTTTTTATTCGTAAAACATTGCATTGAAAATTGCGTCTAGGGAGTACGTTTCCCATTGCCACTTTTTGACACAGAAAGCTCCTAATGCTGGGAAGTAATTTCAGCAGTTGGTGAAAATCGTCACGGTGTCAAAGATACCTGTGGAGTTCATGCACTGAAATGAGCTGCCGAGAAGAGCCAGTGTCATGGATCAGGATTCCAGTGTCTGCAAGTCTTGCCAAGTTGCCTGAAGACAAATGAATACTCGGTTTCCTTTTGAAATACTGTTTGTGTGCAAACCAGAATTTGATTGAAGTGTTGTCTTTCCTCAGTTTGTTCTTACTGGCTTTGGCCATATTAACACCAGCTTTGTATCGATGCTCCAGTTATCTGGAACTGAATTCAAGAGAGCAAGTTCAACCTATTTGAGGATCTTTAAATTCATGGAGTGGTTTGTTTTCACTGTGGATAAACTTCTTTGTGCTTCTTCAGTATCACTTATAAAACCCTGGGGCTCTAGGCTGGTTTACCCCTAGACATTTTGAAGTGCACCCCCATTGGTGGTACACATGACTAATGTAATTTCAGACTTGGAAGGGGAATACTTTCCTACCACTTTCTACTTAGTTATATTTAGCACCTTCTCTTGAGGACCTGCAGTGGCGTCATGGCTGAAGATTTAGGTTATGGTTTAAAAAAGTCGTCAGCAAAAGCAGCTGGGTGTGAGCCTGCCTCTAAAGCCTTGAAGGAGAAGCAATTCAATGATCTCACAAAGAGGTTTGATAAGTTGTTGATGTTGAGATTTCAGTGGTTGCATTTGGAACAACTCCACAAACACTACAATGGAAACAAGGTTTTTTAATGAAGATGTCAAATATGAGATCAGACTTGAATAACTGGACTGAGAGAAGGAAACTTTTCAGTGTGATCGCTTTTATTTCTCAGAAATGAGCACAATTTATTTCTGTGAAGTAATGTATTTATTTGTCAGTATATTTGACAGTGCAACTGCCCTTTTGTTTCTATTAATATACCTGCATTTGGACACAGTTTCCCTGTATGCGAAGAGGAGGATGAATATAAGCACTGGAAAAAAGTCCAGTGACCAAAGGAGCTTCGGTCGCCTCCTGAAAACCTGAATACTTCTTCCCAAGGGGTCTTTAGTTTTGGTGACCCTCATACAGTGCCATGTGGATAGACTTGCACCTCCAGTCCATTGAGGTCGATGTGGCAATTGGCTTACACGTAGAATTGCCTTGTGTTTGTCTCCCCATTCCATCCTTTCCTCTTCCTTCCCCCTGCTGCCTGTGGGTTATTATGCAGCTTGAACGTTGTTTAGCCAGTGGAAGGGGAGGTTCTGTCTCTTCTTCTGAGATGGCTTTTCTCAGTGACTTTCAGTATATTTTTTTTTTTCTCAAGCCTTAAATTTGATTAAATAAAATTTAATGTTTTGTACTTCTGCAGTTTGATTTCTAAGATTTGCTGTTTCCAATCACTAGTGTTTCCCTCTCTAAGGTTTAGTCTGGCTGCTGAGACTGCAATTTGTGGATTGTGGATTCTGTAAACTTACCATTTACAGAAATGGTAATGGTCCGCTGGTGTTAGTGTGTATATTTTGCTGAAACTAATTCTTGATTTTTTTCAGTCTGGGCTGCTGAATAATACATAACACAGGTGCTTTTCTCCCCACTGTTAATGGAAAGCCGTGAACAAGTGAAGAGTTGTGGAATGGTGTAGAGAAATTATTAAATCTCTGGACACCCAAGAAGTTAAAACTGCTGTTTGCACTTTGACTGCCATTATCCACAGTTACTGCTCTTGTGGTTTGCACAGTCTATGGTTTGTCATGTCTGAGCAATGTTCCTGAAACTACTCTTAAGAGTGCAGAAGGGAAGTAACTTCCAGGTTTGAAGATGAGGCTTGCAGAAATAGGTTTGTGTCTGCTTCTTTGACCATTTTAATGTTTCTTTGATGCATTAAAACCTGATTTTAGTTTTAATAAGGTCAGAGAAACATTCAACCAGTAGATAATGGCTATATTAGAATAATGCAATATCTGGAATTAGATACTCTAGAATGTTAAGGCTGGATCATTTCTAATAAGAATGACTTAACTTGAATGCGGCTATTTGGGGGGGTGTGTGTGTATATATAGAACTTGTAATAGATCCTGATATATCTCATACTAATGCCTGGTTTAGGCACAACCCCAGATCTTATTCTGAAGTTGCGATTGTCTGAAGCTATTTCTCATTTTGACATTGGAAATGTATAGGATGCCCATATCACTGTGTGCTTTAAGCTAGAGGAACCTGCACATTGTTCAGCTCTTGTTTTTCTTTTCTCCTACTATGTGATCAAAACCTGCTTGTGTGTTACTCACCAAGTGACTTGTCTGGGGTGGTTTTATGAAATTCCCTTTCTCAAGAGTACTCCTGAAAATGACATTTGGTGGCGAATGTAGTGGGCTAAATAGTGTTAACAAGTTTTGCAAGTGGGAAAGCTTTTGCAGGAACAAAGTTGTAATGTTTGTTTGCAGACTTAAGCCAGTTATACTGAAATTATTTAGAACAGGCGGTCTTGTTGACTTTTAAATATTCCCTGCTTTATAACAATTTTTTTAAAGGTCAGTACTTTTCTATTTTTTTTTTCCTCAATAACTTTTAATGCTGACTAAAAAAAGTCATTGTTCCCTAGCTCTTCAGTATCTACCACTATAGGGTTTTGAATTTGATCTCTTAGGTCTTGGCAACGTGACTCTGCAACATACTTGCAACTGCTTCAAAAGGTTCCCATAAGGACAACTTGTGAAATAGATCCTCTTCTTACCTTTTTTTTATCAAGTGACCATTTTTAAATATGAAAGGCTTCTGTAGAAATGTGCAGAGACATTTGTTTTATTACAATTTTTCATTATCTAAAGTTAAACCTAGGATTTCTTACTGGAAATAATTTAATGAAATGCCAGCTGCCTCCAAATCTTCACACATGCCCACTTGTAATTTCTAACTAGCTTTAATTTGTATCTTGTCCAAGCACTGTATGGACATTGACTGCAGTTTCTTGTAAACTTTGCTTCTACTGAGTCTCATTCCAGGTTACAATAGCTGCAACTCTGAAATTAGGACAAGACCGTGACCTCGGATACTTAGGAATACAGCTTGTGACACTAGCAGGTAGAAACTCAGAGATGAGCTTTAAAATTGGAAATTGAAGGGGGAGTTGGTTTAAAGGTACAGTTTTGTGGCGGTTTTAACATGTTCAGTTAACAGCTGGGCTCACAGATTGATTCACAATGTGCAGAGGTTGAATCGGTGCCAATTAGCCCTTTGCATTGTTTAAGCTACAGCTCTCCTCTAATCTAAAACCCCATTGTTTCAGGTTGCATGATATAAGCTTGACATTTTTTAAAATTATTTTAAAGTCCCATTGATATAAAAAAAAGTTGCAAGTGATATCCTGACTTGACAAAACCAAGCAGCTTAAAAATGTATTACAGAAGTGGTAATTGCCTGATGCTTCTCATGTGACGTTTTCTAAGACCACTTGCTTGACGGGCCTTATTCCTACTGCTGTGTGTTAGTAGCTCCGTGAAGAGCAGCAGTGATGCAAGTATCTGTCGGCCAAATAGATGAGCAAATGAGTATTTTTTTTGTATGTACAGCTTTAAAAGCAGGAGCTGTACCTGGGTTTTAGTAGCGTTGGTTATGCGGCAGCATGACAAATGCAAGGTAGGGTTGGCAAAGCTGGCGTTTTATTGCATTTGCCTCAGCAGCAGTGCAGGGTTGCTACTGGGGAAGAAGGGAGGCTAGTGCGGTGTCTCTCCTCTCAAAACTTGTAATGTTGTGACGGCTTCCTTGACCACATTTGCATTGCTGTGACTGCAGAGTTGTTCGAGGGTTTCTTTAATCTTGTCCTCTTCTATTTCTTGTCTCAGATCGCCTGAATGGGACACGAAATGCTGACTTTTAGTGACATGCCATGGCATAGTGGCTCCCAACAATTGTTGTAAGTTTGGAGTACTTGCTGTTTAAAATGAGCTGCTTTAATTTAAATAAATTTCTCTCAATAGATACCCTTTCAGCCATTGAAAGTATTGAACAAGTTAAGATTTTTTTTTTCTTCTGTTTGACTTCCAAGAACTGATTGAACAGAAGAAAAGCACTCTGTTGAAATGTAATACAGGACAAGTTCCGGCATTTTTTTGCCTGTATGCTTTTTGTTAGCCTTTCATATTAGTAAGACTTAACTCTTAGTGTTACAGTTAGTCTATAAAGTGCTAAGTATATACACCTCTGGAAAAAAGTCTTATAGATCACATCTGTTGTGTCAACACTCTGTAGTAGCACTGAAGGATGCAAATGCTTAGCCCTAGTCCAACATCTGTGTGGCTACAGGGAAAAAATAGAGTATACTGCAAAATCCAGCTTGTCTGCCGATACGGGGTGGCTCCAGGATTTGAAAGGCAGCTCCCTTTTGTGGCAGATTCTTGCCTGAGCACAGTCGTTACTTTCAATTTACATGATTTATGTATTAAGATGTGAGAAACTGGCATGAGATCTTTGGACTCCTGGTTTCAAGGTGGTTTTCAGTTAGTGTCACACATCCAGGATGAGTCTGATCTTGCTCGAAGCATTTTAAGTCTTCCCTAACCATGGAGTGAGAGAAACTGAAATCATATCCTTCATATGTTTTACTAAAAGTTGCTGTGCAAAGGCAGCATTGCTAAAATTGCTGTTTTATCTCAGCTTCTGGTTTGCTTACAGCATAGGCAGAACAAATGTATGCCTGCCTGTGGAAGATGATACAGACTCTCTGTGTCCTTGAACACAAAAATGCTGTGGTACATACAGGACCTGGGACTGCCAGACATTTGTGCATGGTGAATTTGGACAAAGATGTCTTTATTCCAAGGCTCTAATTTTGCTATTTCAGGACTTGATTATGCCAGTGACTCACTGGAATAAAGCCTTGCTTTTTTTTTTTATTCAGCTGATGGTTTAATCAACTTTTCATAAAGAAAGAAGCTACTTGACTGGGATTTTTGGTGATCAATAAAGAATGAACCTCTTTAATATCCTTTACTACTTGCTGACTGCAACATTGCAAGCAGCACATTTCAGTAACAGAAAACACTTGTTTTCATCACAAATATCCATCCTTTCATCACAGACAACTTAAAATGAAGTTACCTGAATTAAGAAGACTGCACAAAAGGCCTATTGAATTATATTTCACCTCAGGACTTGTATTATCATCTTGTAGAAGTTTGTGTAAGCTTTGAACTAGCTGTGATTCCTTAAAAGATTCTTCAAGAGTTCCTGAAAAATAAACAAATACTTGAGCTGTTACCTGAAAAGAAGCTAGAGAGTGAACATGCTTGCTTTTTAAAAATAAAATTCCTGACTGGCTTCATTTCAAATTGGCTATGCACGGATGTCTTGGGCATCTGTTTTCTGTACTAGAGAATTTCTGTATTATTTTCTGTACAGTGTTTCTTCAGTGGCCTCATTCTGGAAGATAGAACCTGTATACTATAGATTGTAGAAAAATAACCTCATAAGAGACTAAAATTTGTAATGATCAGTGCTAGAAATGTTGATTCACGTTAGTTGTCCGATTGAGTTTGAGCACCTTAACGTGGTAGACCAAGCAGTAAAATGGGCTCTGTACTGTCTTGCTTGTTGGTATAGGAAATTCCGAATTTCAAGTTGACTATTTCTTTTCAATTTATCTTTTGATGTATGTAGATTTGTGGTGACTGTCTTTATTGTAATAAATTGAGACCCATTTTCAAATGTGATCAGTCATACAGGAAAAATGTGAAAAAAAATTATACTCAATCTCTCTGAAAATAGCTCAGTAAAAGTAGGTAGAATCTTTATAGTTTTCTCACTTGTTTCATTTGCAGCTTCTACAAGGCCCTTTTGTGTATGCTTCTGCTTTATTCTCTCCTGCATTCAAATATCTGTCTTCTGAAGATCATTTCCTCCCTTTATAGTCTTCATTGACTATTCAAGTCCATAATTTGTCCTTAGTTTTGTCTTTCTCATCTTTTTCTCTAGTCTTCATCACCTTCACTTTGCTTCTGTTTTTTTGTGTAGGTTTCTAGCATCATACCATGCTACTCAACAGATTGTGCCTGTCCACACAACCTGATCATTTGACTCTACCCTAAACCAAAAAATCTTCAGGCAATTCCTGAAGCCTATTGCTTTTGTGATATTCTGGATGGCTGACTTCCTTTATTTCATGCCGAAGAGCTAAACCTAGACAAGAAACATGCTTTTTCTTGCATGTTATATAGAATTAACAGCATGACAATGTTTCTTGGTAATTGAGGATCTTGCACAGATAAATGCTTTTAGGAGAAAAATACCTAAATCGATTGTAGATGCTATTGCCAAGGCATTCAGAGCCTCATTCTGCATGGCAGCATGTTTGCTTGTCATCATGGAAACCAGATGCTTCACTCCTTGTGCCTCCTGGATGGCTTTGACCACTTCCTGTTAAAGCAAAGGTAAAATATCACAGATGGAAATCTGACTTATGAATAAAGCAGAATGAAGAGAGAAATGAGATTTCACTCTTCAGCCTCTGAATAGATGGAAATTATTTGCCTGCTGCAAAGCAAACTGATGATATTTGAAGACTAGAGATAACATTTCTTTTGGCACTGATCATGTCAGTTTAAGGCTGGTCTAATTTACTTGGAATATCAATACTTACAATTATATATATGCATATCTATAAGATAAAAACATGTATTTTGTCTCAAGAGTTTTAGTTTGACCTGATTCCAATTTTTCATTTGAAGCCTTCAAACTAGCGAAGATTCGTTTTACTTTATCAAAGCCTGTGCAGATAGTATCTACTCTTTTTTTATCACTACCTCAAAGTAAAGCACAGTTAGGATGCCTGTGTGTAATATAACGATTTACAAGAAACAGAAGCCTGTTCTAATACGCCAGCAGATACAGATCACGCCAGATCCATCCATCCATCACTAGGTAGGTAAGTGGGCTCTTTGGAGCTCCTGGAGGACTGACGTTTGGGACAGGTCTGGCTTATCTTTGCCATTTTAATTTGAAACTAATATATATGGAAATAGAAAAGCTTTACCTACTTACAATTTGTCAAGCCTTACTCAAGCAGGGTGAAAGCTGACAAGTGACAGTAAGTAACCATGTTGCTTGTTTCTGTGTGGTATCTGTGGCTATGGAGAGCACTGCTTTCCTGCTCACCTCCCACTTATTGGTATTGAGGCAGACTAGAGGGGTTTTTACTGTGAACTTTCATGTTTTTAATGATAAAGCTGTATGTGCTGTTTAACACTTAACCCCTGGCTATATTGACAAGCTTTAAAAATGTTTGAGAAGGATGAAGTAGAAACATATCAGACCAATAGCGCTCATACTTGGGATCTGTTGTGACGCAAGATCGATGCTAGCAGCCGATTTGCTTCTCCGTGAACGCCGGTGGGGTCGTTGGCATTGCACCACTGCACAAGTCTGTTGAGCAGCATGGGGTCTTGGCCCAAGATTTCAGCCGCGTCAGCTGAAGGGAAAAGCATCATCATCAGACACTCAAAATCAGACTCCTCAGTCTTTCTGTCACAGAAATGTGAATGTAGAAGTAGCCAGGACCACGGGTCTGAGCTCAGTATCCTTTAAGAGCTGTAACTAAAGCATTGGGCTTTTAAGGGATCTTGGAAATCTTTACCTGAGGAATGCCAGTTGTGTTAGGGCAACTCTCGGAGGTAAAGAACAAAGTAAGCTGTTCCGATAGCAGTTTCTTAAAAAGGATAGGTCTGAAGCAGGGCTTAAAATGAGCAGCTTCATATCTTTGAAAGCAAATATTCTGTTTGCTCTAGCAAATTGCTATACTGAAATCTTCATGAGGACTGTCCCTTTCCCGTTTGGTTTCTTGCACTTGCTCTTTGAGCACTGCACAAATGTAATCGTGGGCTCCTCAGAGTCTGTTCTTGCTGTTTCAGTGCTCTCATTAATGGTGATAATTACTGTTGGTAGCATGTGGGAAGCCCAGTCTTAGCACAGAATCGCAGCATGTCTGTAATTGCATGTCTCAAGTCTTAAGAATGTGTGTTGAACCGTGTATTGGGCATCATCAAAACTTCCCCCAGAGTTTGGAGGAGCCTTTTAATTTGCCTTCCCCTGTGTTTCAGGAACCCTGTCTCAAGACTTGCTAGAAGTATTAATCTGTGTGGTTGATATTTGGAAAAAACCTCACTAGATAACTTTTCCTAAGAAGTGGAGCTCTAATGATATGCTGTGGTTTAAGGCTTGTTGCCACTAAGGGAGACTACTGCAAAAGCTCTTAGAAGTTCAACAGCAAAAGGAGCTTTACTCATGCTCTCTCAATATTGCATCAGTCTAACACATGGTTCTTTAAAGTGCTGTGGATCAAAAGTGACTAACTGGTGGAAAGTGATTTCCTAAGCAAAGGAAAAATGCAGATATAAGAGCGCTGAGGACTCTGAAATACTCTATTTTAACCAAATATGTTAAGCAGGGGTTCAGCCCTGAGAACATCCTGGTAAATACTGCTTTGGTAATTTCAGTTAGTTGATTCTGTTCAGTACTTAAGACGCTGACATTTTCTACATCTTGGTCCAACTAGAATTTTCTTCTGAGTGAATGGTACCAGGTGAAAGATAAGAAAGTAGTAATGTGCACAACTTAAACTGCCTTTTTGTAGGAATTGAGTGCTCACCCATTTGTCTTTGAGCACAAAAGAGCTGTTTTGTGAACTGCCAAACCACTGTTTCCGTGTGTTCCAGTTGATCATGAACTGAGGATATGAATGCACAGCACTTCCAACTGGGCACCAGATGTAGCAAGTGAGAGGCAAGAGTAGTCACAGGGCAGATGCTCAGTTTTGGTGTAGAATTATTCTATTTGCAAAAATATACTGTGGTTATAAGATTTAATTCAAATTTAGGAGTCTCATGTAGTTAGTTGTAATTAAGGTTTTTTCCTGTTGACTTAATTTTGATCAACTTGAGTCCTGTCCATGCCTGCCCGCCTCCCACCCCTCAATGCTGGAGGACCAGAGCAGATGAGCATGAAATGTGCGTTGTGTGCTCTGAAGAAGGAAAGATGTAGTAAAAGCCTTCATGGGAAGTGTACATTCTCTAAGAAGGGCTATAAAGGGTCTGTGAGCTTTTTCCGATCTTTTTCTGCTTTTCCAGTCTTTTTAAAATAGTTCCAGGCTTGAAAGAAGGTAACCAGGGAGGTCCCTGCTCCTTTGGAAGCAAATTCAGAAAGGGAAAAATGTGGGGAAAAGTCTGCATGGTTTTAAGATACTGGGCAGTTTGTCTCTTGGAGCTTTGCTGAAGCAGACTTGAGGAAGAACCAACGTTAACATCTGGAACAGCAGAGAGAGGTTTGGCTGATAGGGACATCACTCTGCTCCTGTTCCTTTACCTGTCCCTTTCTTTCTGTGTGTTGCGTTTGTTTCGAGATATTCTGGAAAGGGTCAAACAGAGTGTCTGCCAGTGTCAATAAACCACATGATTACTCTGGATATTTTTCAGAAACTAAGTTAACCTATACTCCTATTTTGGGGAGGGAGATGAGGAAGGACGGATGCTTTCTTTTCTTATTTGTCCAGTACACTAAGGAACAATCCACAGATCAAAATCCCACAAGGAATCTGGGAGCTTCTAGCCTAGTTGAACATGTTTGTTTTGAGAGAAGAGTTACTTGTCGTTGCACAACCACCTGCGTATTACCTCCTGTAACAGAAAGGCTTTTGTTTCTAGGTCAGATATTACATGTTAGTCTGAGGGGATCATGGTAATCCAGTTTAGTACAGAAAGCTGAAAGAGGTGAGAGGGTGGTGAATGGAATCAGTCTAAGAGGTTTGTTCAAAGGAGGCGTCTTGACCCAGTTTGACAGGGACTTCCTGATGTCTACCAGCAATAGAGCTCTTTGAGATAAAACGCAATTAGTTATCCTTAATAGGAACAGGAGGACCTTTTAACTTATAAAACGCCAAATTTGAATAAATTGTGTGTATGATTGAACCTTCAGATGAGCTGAAAGTCCTTTGGCTGTTGAAGCGCACAAATTCTTCTGCTCCTCTGAAGCAAAATGGTGGAGAAACCAGGAGTTAATGTTAACATCTCTTTAGCATAATGAAGCTGACAGATCTGACTGCAGTTTTCTATAGTTAGAAGGAAACCTACATCTTCTTGTCTGTAGGCCTCAGCATGCCCAGTGATTGTCAGAGTAATCAATTTATACTAGATAATTCAATTAACTAATTTAGTGTCGACTTCTTAGTAGATGTGTATTCATAAGAGTTTCAGGCTGAGTTAATTAAGGGCAATGTTAGCTCATGGGTAAACAGAACAAAGTAATTAAAGGTGGGAGAATTGTGTGCTTATAGGCAGGAATGGGTAAACATTGAATAATCGTCTACATCTTTTTTTCTACTCTATATCTGTATTGTTTCACATTCAGGAGTTGTACCATTTTGTGCCAAATTCCAACTTCATACTAGGGCTGGTAAATAGCATTGAGTAAAAAAAAAAAAAGAAAAATATTATTTAGTGTCTGGTAATTTAGGTCTGTGTTATTATGGTGTCTCAATTTTAAAAGCTAAATGGTTTCCCCTGTCACAATTCAGATATAACTTTGGAGACATGACCTTTTAATGATTTCCTTCAAAGCGTGAGAGGAGGAAGAGGCTAAGTGTCTGTATCTCTTGCAATGTCCATTTCCTACCATGGTGAAATGTAAGTGAAAGCAGCTTTTTACTGGACTGGAATCAGTGCAAATTAATATGAGTGCTGGATCTAAATTTTATATCATGCATGTTCATTTGAAAAAGGATGCAAGTAGCTGCTGTATCAAAGTGGTGTCTGCAGTGGTGTAAATGAGTGCAGCATGGAATGTAGGAGTGTAAGTTTTTTTTCCCCTTCCATATAACTAATGAATTTGTGATTGTAATTGTTCTGTACCAGCTGTCAGTTCCCATCGCAAAATGGTCATAACTTTTCTGATCCTGTTTTTGACCTATTTCTTGTTATTCCTGCACATCAAGGTGGTCTGTACTGATCAGTGTTCTAGAGCAGCTGCTCTGGTGATGTGAAGGAATTAGAACACATTAAAAAAAACCCAAACCCCACAACACTTGTGTTATAATCTGGTAAGAAGCTAGAGAAGTCTAAGGATAAATTAAGATATTGTAGTAGATCTTAATGTAATTCTGGCATTGTGCATGTTTCGCAAAATGCAACTATATGCACAGAGTATTTGTTGCCTTTGCATACCCACCTCTGTGTGAAACTGAATGAAGTGCAAGTAGATAATCCCTTATTTCAACGTGCAAAGTAAATTCAACATTTGAGCCGCACCAGCAAGATAAACCTGGCAACGTGTGTAGAGAGACTGCGTGACTGATAGAAACTCATTTCTCCTGCCTCCCTCCACCCCAGCTCCCTTGGATCCTTTTATATTCTCCAGTTTTATTGATTTGCTTTCCTGTGATTTGGCACTGTAAATCCTTAGCCTGACTCTCTTCCATCATACTCATGCCTTGCTGGTGTATTTCTGGTGGAAAACATCTTCCCTTTAGGCCTCTGCCATTTCTCACTGACTACTGCAGATTCTACCCTTTGGTTTGTTTCTCATCTACCTCTGAGGCTGACTGGGTCAGTATTGGAAGGCTCGCAGCCTCCGGCAATCATCTCTGTTGGAACCTCTCTGGATTGAGTGGACTTAGGTTATCAGGACACTTAGCCTGTAGTCTCCTTGCACATCCGTTGTCTTGCAGAGGGAGGGGAGGAGGGGGGTGTATAGTTGACATCAGTAAACATTAGCAATTCTCTACCTTGACCATCTGCTAACATCCGTAGTGTTCCAAGAAGTTTAAACTGCGCAGGAGGCATCTCTGACCTTAGAAGTGCCTGAATCCGTTCTGCCACACCTTCCTCCAGCATTTGAACCTTGTTAACAACTAGAAAATGGAAAAAAAAAAAAATGTGAAGCTCAGTAACTACACAAGCAACAGATAGGACATAACTGTTGTTCTGAATTTTATGCTCCGTTACGCTCCTAGCAAAAGGTCCAACTTATTGGAGTGCTGTCTTGGTTTCAGCTGGGATAGAGTTAATTTTCTTCCTAGTAGCTGGTACAGGGCTGTGTTTTGGATTTAGGATGAGAACTATGTTGATAACACACCGATGTTTCAGTTGTTGCTGAGCAGTGCTTACACTAGCCAAGGGCTTCTCAGCTTCCCATGCCACACCAACTGAGCAGGCTGGAGGGGCACAAGAAGCTGGGAGGGGGCACAGCCAGGACAGCTGACCCCAACTGGCCAGAGGGACATTCCATGCCATGGGACGTCATGCTCAGTATAT